GGAGTCTGGAAATGTGCCCGGTATATGGCAATAGGCTCACCCCCTATTACATGGGACTCATAACATAAATAGTGAAAAGTGGGTGTTACATTGTACAGTGGCATTAAGTGCCGTAATGTGCACCTCTGCCTACCCCTTCGGCCTTCGGGGAAAAAGGCGTGATGTTATGTATATGTATAAGATTAACACTAAAATACTCCTGGTATCCTCAGGCTACTGTCTCCCGGAGCCCTACAACACTCCTCGGCTCCGCGAAGTCGTTGAGAAGTTCATGCAGAGTCTGCGAGACCCGTCACTGCCACTATTGGAGTTGCAGGAGGTAAGTAACCGGTGAAATTATACTAAATAGCCATTGCGGGATCCAAGACCTGTAAATTCACGTCTCTGAGACGCGATGGACTTCAGTGTTCCAATGTTAGCATGGTTGTATCTACTGTACATCCTGGTGTATAGGAGTCTAAGTCAAAGCATTTATTTCAATTAAATAATTTGGTACTTTTGAAACGTCAACAAATACAAAATGAATTGTCAGTCAGTCCGTCAGTGAAGCCAGGTGAAGCTAGGTGCTCATTCCAAAATGTAGATTCGAATGGAGAAGAACGAGCACATTCGTAACTATTTCTCTATCAAAGCGGTTTTAGGAGATTGTGGCGGGTTTAATAGAGTCTTCATTATTAAAATAATCATAATTGTCACCGTTTTTGGATACTGCTGGACATACGCGGCTCCGATATTATGCCACTGCACCATCTTCAACTCTAGTCATCCACAAAGCGGAAAATAAACTAAAATTATATATTTAAATCGGAATGAAAGGATGACGGGCAGAATGTACACGAAGACTTGCTTCCGTGCAGGAATCGAACCCGCTACACATCGTGCGGCAGCCGGGTGGTCAGCCCCTGTACCAAACGTGCAGTCAATAGACATTGTATAATGTCTACACCTTCCACATTACGATAATCACTCAACAACTCCCGTTAATCCCCAGGTACTATCGTCCACGTCTGGCCGCATCCCCATAGCTGTCGAGAAGAAGGTCCGCAAGTTGATGGCTCTGTACGAGAGGAACATCACCAGTGTCCTCGCGCAGTTCCCCAGCCAACAGATCGCCAGCGTTATCGACCAGTGAGTTGATTTAGACCTTATTTGTAGTTTATTAATGTTACTTTTCCAGTGCTCCATTACTGTAATTAATAACATAAGAGTCTAGAGTTCATTTTTATAGCGAAAAGTTTATTAAACGAAAACTTTAAAAAATCGCTCTTATTGCAACTGTTACTAAGGTTCAAGTTTGTAATGCTAGTTTGAAGAATATAGACCTTATGCCTGTAGGAATAAGGTCGAGTTTTGCAAAGCATGATAGGGGAATATGGACTTAATTGCTTGTGTCGATAAGGATCATTTTCTTCAATAGTCAAAGTTGGTAATTTTTTATATGTTCTGGAAATATGAGGGAGTATGGTATTATAATTTCTGTATGTTTGTTACAGTCACGCCGCCTCGCTCGCTAAGAGGGCCGACAGAGATGTGTTCTTCATGAGCACACAGGCGCTCGTCGTACTTGTGCAGAGATACAGGTAATTTATAATAAGTAGTAAACTTTATAACATAACATAGGGGTAGGCAGAGGTAACAGTCGAAATCATTTATTTTTGATGAAGGCAAGTACCCAATTATTCTTTTTCTGTGTTTATCTTTAAGTCCGTTTAGGAAATAAAGGGTATTATTATATTTTTCGACTCACTGACGAAACTGTTTGACGACCCGGTGACTGTCGAGCCTCTAGCATGGCTTGAAACTAGTCGAGGTCCTCGTCAAACAGTTCCTTGAGGAAGCCGAAAACATAATAACTAATTCAGTATGTCTCATGAACCTTTTAACATCATACATAGGACTCATAACATCACTAGTGAAATGATTCGGAGTCGCGGAGAACCTAACGGGTAGCCGCGGCTCCGGCTCGACGTGCAGGAGATGGAACGGGGTGGGTTTTAGTCAGTAAGAGTCTGACACTCCCTTCCACCTCACCCGGGCGGGAGCAGTCATTCGATGATTTTGCCCCTTACAAAAAATCACTAGTGTCGGCGCATTAGTATGGCCATCGACCATAGAGGCGGCGACGCGCGGGACGGGGGTATAAAAACCCACGGCCGCGCGAGTGCCACGCTTCTTCTTCATCGACACACGGGCGCCATAGCATTCGGGCATTTCTTTGTATCGGTGCGAGCCGGTCTTGATTCTGATATGTAATAATTAAACCTTTTAATTGTGCAGTCTTCTGTTTTAATTTGAAATAACCCGATAGAGCTACGACACTAGTGAAACCCCTCCAAGAGACAGTAGGCTTGATACTACATAATGTTATATTTCCAGGAACGGTATCCGCGGCAGAATGAAGGCAGCAGTACACGATCTACTGAAACAATACTATCAAGTTGAAAGCAACTTCCAACTAGGTGAGTCTAACTATTTTTTGAGGGACAAGCCTGCCACGGCTTCCCAAAACCGCTGCAACTCCTGTGCACCAGGATCTACAGTAGATACAACCATGAAAACACCGGAACACTGTAGTCCGGGACATGAATAACTGTATTGGTTCCCCCAGTGAAGTATAACGAAATAATTTCCACTTCCCTCGGTGAAGTCTATAGTTTATTAATATGGTTAAAAATAGTTCGGTAAACGAGCAGACGGTTCACCTGATGGTAAGCGATCAGCGCCGGCCATTGACACCCGAAACATAAGAAAAGTTAGGCTAAGAGCTCACGGCGAGATTTTCGCTCGCGCCCTCAGCCTTTGTAGAATACATACATGAATGTTTTTATAACAACTACCGTGAGACATACTAAATTAACTTAAAGTCGCGGGTTACTCACGTGAATCTCCTCTGAGGACCGTCATAGATCGACAAGATCAGAACGTCGACACGAATTATGTCTGAGAGCGTCAAAGACAGCCCTTAAGCACAAAAGTATCTTTTGCATGGCACCCAAAATATATAATAAAATCCCAAATACTATCAAGAATCTGAATTTAACACAATTTAAACGGAAACTTAACAATTTTCTAATTGATAAATGCTATTATACCATTGACGATTTCTTTCATGACAAAATGTAATAAACTGACAACTATGTGTATAATTAATTATGAAAACTTGGGTAACTTATTGTTTATTTAGTGCTTGTATTAATTTATTTTGTTGCAAAATTTTTGACATTTTTGCTATTGATTGTTTATTTAATGCCTGTTATAATTTATAATTTATATTGTGACTAATTTTTGACATTTTATTAATTATTTTTGTTACAATTTTGAATGTGATGAATATTTTTATACTTTAAATAGTGTATGCCTAATGGGCAGCTTTTTGCGCTACTATAATAATAATTTTGTATCACCAAAAAGCACACGAATAAATACTTTGACTTTGACTTTGAATATACTGAGAAAAGCTCTACTAGTTTCGAACCACAGAGGGGTTCTTCCACATGAGCAGCGTGCGCGGTCTACCGGAGCCTACCCCTCCGAGGATAAAAGGCGTGATGTTATGCTAATTTACCCTTACTAATTAGAAAGACATTATAACATATGATTTCAATTGTCATAGGATCCTACGATAAATGCGTGGCGGCTCTCCGCGAGCGCCACAAGGACGACATGCAAGCTGTGTCCAACATTATATTCTCACACAATCAGGTCGCCAAGAAGAACATGTTGGTGAGTACATACTTGCTCTACGTCACATCTGATGGTAAGCAATCTGCGCCCGCTACACCAGACGAGTCACTAATGCGTGACGACTTTTTAAGGAAGAGTATATTGGTAACTTTGTAGCCATTAATGCATCGCACGTGCCACCCGACCAGAAATACCTCTTCGAGAATGACATGGCGTGATGTTTTGATAATGTACTATGAGTTCGTATGCGCTTTCGAAGTTTACTCTTTTGCAATGGTTCACCAGTTATTTCTTGGTTTTTCTATGTCAAACTATTGTATTACCAAAGCAGAACAATTTTGCTTCGGGACGATACCGATATAAATTTTACGGTGGATAATAGTACTAGCTTTTACCCGCGGCTTCGCTCGCGTCACAAAAGGATAAAAAGTAGCCTATGTGACATATACCAATACCTTTGTTTTCCCTCGGGACTAACAAATTTTTCCGGGATAAAAAGTATTCTATTATTTAATCCAGACTTCTAACTTTACGTCTGTCGGTTTAGTAGTTACGGCGTGAAAGCGGAACAAACAAACAAACTTTCCAATTTATAATATTAGTAAGGATATGATAGTACAAGTATATAAGGTTATCAATATGTGATAATGGTGTACTCAACCCCCTTCTTTCTCTTCCCAGGTAACCCTCCTAATAGACCACCTATGGTCCAACGAGCCCGGTCTGACGGACGAGCTAGCGACGACTCTCAACGAACTTACGTCACTGCACCGCGCCGAGCATAGCCGGGTCGCGCTGAGGGCTAGACAGGTATGTTACTGGTTTTTTAATATACAATCTTTTAAGGGGAGAACATCATCCAATGAGTTCTCCCGCCTTGTGTGAGGCGAGAGATAGTGTCAGACTCTTACTGACTAAAAACCACCCCGTTCCTACTTCTGCATGTCGAGCCGGAGCTCTGGTAACCTGTTAAGTCCTATATGGCTACGTATCGGCATCAGCCCTATTGGGCCCCATCCGTTTTACACATGTTAGCAAAGAAATTAGCGTGCTTACTTTTCATTTCTTGATAAATATTTTCTAATACTAGTATTTTATTAATTGTTCACGTATGTCGTACAAAAGGCAAATTAGTCACCTTTACAATAGGGTAGTCACCTAAATTTTATTTTAATGTCCGTCTGGTACATTAAATTAAAACTTTAGACACGTAATTTTTCTTTTCTCGCCAAATTAAATACTTTCGAAGATATATATATATATTAATTTAAAATATCGTGTGACGTCATAACGTGCTACAAAGTGTGTTACGTAACGATCTCCCACTCCTAAACCTAGCGCCATGTTATTATAATAAGTATTGCAACTTAATACGAGAAACTAAAACAATACGTGTCTAATATTTTTTCATTATCTAACTGACGGACTAATTAGATTTTTAATTTTGATACCCTGGAAACTACCCAATTGGGTACTTTCCTCAATCGAAAATGAATTATGTAACTGTTCAACACAATAAAAAATCATGACCAACTTAATTTTAATATTTTTTCAAGCTAATTTTTAAGAACTAACTTGAACTTGTCAACTAGTCAGATTCAAGACTTTTTTCGAACTGTCAATAAACGACAGTTTTCTATGAATTTTGTACGAGATTGTGTATTGTGACGTCACGTTTTTTTAACGTCAAACAGCATACTTATTTCTTAAAAATTTGCTGAAAAAAAATACCAAAATTAAGTTGGTCATAAAATCAATTATTGAAAGTGTGAATATTTTCTGATATTTAATTCTAGATAATCTAATTATATTGAACAGTCGAAATAATTTATTTTTGATTGAGGAAAGTACCCAATTTCATAAACCCTTCTCCTCCAGGTCCTAATAGCAGCTCACCAACCAGCGTACGAGCTCCGTCACAACCAGATGGAGTCCATCTTCCTCTCCGCGGTCGATATGTATGGACATGACTTCCACCCGGAGAACCTGCAGAAACTGATCCTGTCCGAGACGTCCATATTTGATATACTCCATGACTTCTTCTACCATACGAATGCTGCGGTAAGTTTTTTTTTTATATTTATATTAGCCGCTTCTACCCGCAACTTCGTACGCGCAATCCCGTTTTCTCGCGTTTCCGTAGGATTTTCAGGATTTTTTCCTGTCTTAAGAGCCTTCTCCTAATAATAACAAATCCAACAAAAAAAGAATTAGTTAAATCGGTCCAGCCATTCACGCGTGATGCCGTGACCAACGGAAAAAGGGATTCATTTTTATATATATAAGATACGTTTTAAAAAAAAACGTTGCCCCATATTAGGATTTTCTCCTGTGTCGTAGGTGCGTTTATAAACATACAAGTTCACATATACAATGACACCCAGACCCGAAATAACAATTTGTGGATCACACAAAGTGTTGTTCCTTGCGGGAATCGAATCCGCGACACGTTGCACGGTAGCCGGTTGCCCAGCCACCGCATCAACCATACATGCAGTAATACTAACTTCTACCACTGATTTTTCCCGCGTTCCTGTGGGTAAGTAGCCTATGTATTATTCCAGACCCAGAATCTACCCCTGTTGCAAATTTTATCTCGATGCCTTCATCCGTTTTGATGTGTTTAAGTAAAAAAAACACACAATATAGCATTCATAATTAAAATAGTCTGTTTTTAAACTGTCAAACACCAAGCGGTCACCGGTGACCGCAACCTATTGTTCTATAATTGTGTCTACAAAACCGGTACTCGACGAGTTAATGTTTGCGCTAACGATTGGCGGAACTGAAAATTATTTATGTTAACGGATTTTATGTAGCTACATTTTTTTTAATTCTTGATTTAGACTTGAGTATGTACGCATTGCTGTAGTTAAATTAGTTTAAAGACGTCTATATACCGCACGATTTGCTCTGTCATAGTAATTTTGCGGTGAGTGATTTATTTATTTATTTAAACTTTAATGTACACAGAAACAAGTAATGGTACATAAGGCGGACATTAATGCCATATGCTATAGCTTCCTCATGCGAACCGCTAAGGAATGGAATTCCTTGCCAGAGGCTGTGTTTCCCGTCAAATATGACTTGGGTGTCTTTAAGTCCCGAGTGAACAGGTTGCTCATAGGTAGGCGTGCTCCATCGTCGGCCACATCATCGCTTACCATCAGGCGAGATGGTGGTCAAACGTCGAACTATAAAGTACAAAAAAAAAATAAAAAAAAATGGCATTCTCTACCAGTCAACCTTAGGGTTAAATAGGAAATCGACGAAAAAATAGTGATAAAAAGTTAATACATAGTTTTATTCGCAGTTAAAAGTGTTTTGCGCAAGTACTTTAAAGATTTGCGCAAATGCGTTAAATGTTTGCGCAACTTGAGATTATTTCGTTGTATTTTTTTTTAACTCGTCGAGTACCGTATTTGTAGACACAATTATAGAACAATAGGTTGCGGTCACCGGTGACCGCTTGGTGTTTGACAGTTTAATTGTCTTACCCAAAGTTATTTGATTACTGAGAAAGAAAAACAAGATAATTATTAACTTTAATACTTTATTCATAGTGCCAAAGCGCTATTTTGTGATACAATAATTGGTGTATAATCTACTATATAATAATAAGTCGAGTTTTCCTTCCTGACGCTATAACTCCAGAACGCACGAACCGATTTCCACGGTTTTACATTCGTTGGAAAGGTCTCGGGCTCCGTGAGGTTTATAGCAAAGAAAATTCACTAATCACCAAACGAAATGATACATAAAACGAAGCCATCTGGTGGCGAAACGGAGTTCTTTTTTTTTTATACCACGACGGTGGCAAAAAAGCACACGGCCCACCTGATGGTAAGCGGTTACCGTGGCCTATGTACGCCTGCAACACTTGGGGCATTACATGCGTCTTGCCGACCCTTAAAAAACCTATTCACCGACCTCTTGAAGAACCTCATGTTGTAGCCCACTGGGAAAACCACGGCAGGGAGCTCATTCCACAATCGGAGGGTCCGTGGGAGAAAATTCCTCTGAAACCGAACTGTACGGGACCATTTTGGCTCCAATGAGTGAGCGTGAACCCCATGTCGATGGCGAGCGGTGCGATGATAAAAGTTCGCCGGGTTTGCTAGTGTAATATAAATAAAGCGGTGTAATGTATAAATGCGACCATTGATTCGAAATTTGAATTCCAAGCCTTGGTTTAAGATCTCAAAAGAGTAAACATAGAATATGAAGTTTGCAATATCTGAAACAAAAAGCGCAATATGAGTAGGCCTTTGCCCATTTTCACTAACCACTTCTAAATTTTAAGGAACACCTTTTTTATGCCTTAATCCGGTAAACGAGCAGACGGATCATCTGATAGTAAGCAATCGGCGTCGCCCATGGACACCTTGAACACCAGAGGCATTACAAGTTCGTTACCGGCCTTTTGGGGATTAGGAGTTTGAGGATCGTTGGGGATTCAGGGATTGGGGAGATTGGGGAAGGGGAGGGTAATTGGACCTCCGCTAAGATACTTCTCATTTATAATATTAGTAATTATTACATAACATCATCACGCCTTTTTATCCCCGAAGGGGTAGGCAGAGGTGTACATAATGCCATTGTACAATGTAACACCCACTTTTCTCTATTTATGTTATGAGTCCCATGTAATAGGGGGTGAGCCTATTGCCATATACCGCGGGGCACAATTCCAGACTCCGTGCTACTACTGTGATTTTTTTTGAAAAACTCAGTAATACTTTGCCCGACCCGGGAATCGAACCTGAGACCCCTTGCCCGGCAGTTGGAGACCATTTGGCCAATGAGGCAGTAATTATTATTTATATTATTGTAACTTACCGAAACAAACAATTCCATATTAAACGCCAACATATTTAACGCGACAATCTCGTTGGGTACTTGCGCACGCGCTACCATAAACAATATCATCTTCCTAACTCTCTGGTCGTCGACTTGTTCCCATCCGCTGCTGTAGAAGCGATTCGCTGTTTCCAGTGACTGTAATAGGGTAGATGATTATTTTTTATTTAAATGTCCGTCTGGTAGATTACATAACATCACGCCTTTTATCCTCGAAGGGGTAGGCAGAGGTGCACATTCTACCACAGTACAATGTAACACCCACTTTTCACTAGTTGTTATGAGTCCCATGTAATAGGGGGTGAGCCTATTGCCATATACCGGGCATATTTCCAGACTCCGTGCTACTACTGTAATTTTAAAATTCTGGTAGATTATTTAAAAACATTAGACGTTTATTTTTTATTTTCTGTAAGTTGGTACCTGGTAGTACCACTCCGGTCGAACGTTTTATAAAAAAAACGTATTTTGCTTTAAGCATCCAAACTTACCATGGCCTTCAGTTTAGCTGCATAGCGACAAGGCAGGTAAATGTGAATCACGGCGCCAGTCACGAATATCATGTATCGAAGGTCGAACCCGTAACCCTAGAAATATGATTTTCTCATCATTATAGTCAAATGACCTTTGAGATAACAAATAAATAACGATTTTTCAAAAATACCTCAGTTATGTGATACAAGCAGGTACATATTTGTATCATAGTCGCCAAGAATATGATGCCCAGCCAAATGTTGAAGGTATCCTGAATTAGATCCACGAACCTGGAAAAAGAAAGAAATAGAAATAGTAAACTTAAATTCATCAGTGAGATAATGGACGGAGGCCCAATCCTCAATCCCCAATCTCCGAATCATAAATCCTGAAAAGCCGGCAACGCACTCGTAACGCCACTATTATTACGAGTGTCCATATGCGGCGGCGATTGCTTACCATCAGTTGGTCCGTCTACTCCTTTGCTGCCCTGTCTCAAGACACTGCGTTAACTTTCTTCAGTTCAAGACCAACTCTCTTATTTTTTTTTTAATAATCCAATGATTTTCCCCCTTTTTTCAATATTAGGTAATAAATTCTCCACGGTCCGTGCCCTTCTCGTACAATACTTCTCCCGCGAGAGGGAGTGTCAAAATCTTACTGACGAAACACTACCCCGTTCCTGCTCCCGCAAGAGCCGGAGCCCCGGTAACCCGTTAAGTCGTCCGCAGCTCCAGGGTTTAAAACCCACTTACTGAAACATGCGACACTGCTCCTTGATAACTCCAATAACTCGACCGCAGACCTCATGAGCATCAGCTTTGAAGGCCTCCTCCAACGCCTTGCAGTACAGGTCCATCTTCAGACACGCATGGTTGATGGCCAGCCCGAAGAAACCATCGTACCCAGTAAAATTTACAACGTAGAGGATTGAGCAGTAGAACATGTAGACGAATATTATCTGGAAGGAAATGATCAGTAAGGGGGCTATTTGTTCGGGAGAACCATGTTTAGGACCAGCTAGGTGGGCTTGACCGAAGTGATACCACGACCGATCAGGAAACCATAGTGACATTTTTTTTTATGTGATAAGCTGGTAAACGAGCAGACGGATCACCTGATGGTAAGCAATCGGCGTCACCCATAGATACCTGGAACTCCAGAGGCGTTCCAAGGTTCCAAGTGCGTTACCGGCCTTTTGAGATTAGGAATTTGAGAATTATTGGGATTCAAGGATTGGAGAAAGGGGGGGGAGGGTAATTGGGCCTCCGATAACCTCACTTACACAACGCAAACGTTGTTTCACGTCGGTCTTCTGCTCGGCCGTGGTATTCCTCCGGTCGAGCCGGCCCATTCGTGCCGAAGCATGGCTCTCCCACACTTAGACTGACACTCCCGCAGCATAAGAAATATGACGTGAAAATATGCCTGGGTTGTGTTTCGTCGTGTGACTGAGCTTACCCGAGACCTAATCACCCCATCATAATTATCTGCCACAATACTTCTGTTGCTGAACATTGGCCTCTCCATTCCCCCTAAAACTGGCAACGCTGTAACATCTCTCGTGTTGCGGGTGTCTAACAAGATCTAGTCTTATTTTTAAGGGGGGAAAATCATTTAATGACTTCTCCCGCCTGGGTGAGGCGGAACGGAGTGTTAGATTTTTACTAACTAAAAGCCACCCCGTTCCTACTCCTGCATTTCGAGCCGGAGTCCCGGTAACCCGTTAGGTTCCCGCGGCCAAGATCTAGTCTAGCGTTTATATTTTAACGTGATTGAAGAACACACAAGACTTAAGCATTTTATGCTTTTTTATCATCATCAACATGAAAAACCTGTAAATACAGCTCGAGCAAAAGCCTCTTCTCACACGGAGAATTAGAAATTATAAGTCTATATTGTCCTCACGATGTTTTCCGCCACCACTTGTCGGGACTACATTATTACCTACCTCAAAATAAGGCGACTCAAATCGATCCTCAGGGTCTTCAGAAAAAGGCTTCTCCAGATCGTGTATCATATACTTGACAGGCTCAGATTTAAACACGAAATTGTAAACGTTCAACGATATAGCCATTACTGGAAATGTCATCACGCAAGTAACCACGGTTATAGCCCATCCCCGCTCGCTGTATATTTGACAGTTCTTGACGCTGGCCCGCGCTATATCTTTGTATATTTCGGAGTAGTTGTTGATGTTTTCGTAATCTCTGTTTATTTCGTCTAAGATCTGTTTTGCTTGGATTCGTTTGTGGTACATTAGTATCATCTGGAAATAGGGCACAAGTTATTTGAAGAATTCGGTGTCCATAGTAAGAAAGATATTACGCCACGACACACACACGTAGACAAGACTACACTTTTCTGTGTACCTACACACAAATAGCCCATGGTACATTGCAGTGCAAAACGCCGGAGCTTAATAATTCTATGTCGCCCGGGCATATATATTGGGGGTTGATATTTTCATTCTATTCTATTGACTATTCTGTGCCTTTACCCAAACGCCACTTTAGCGCTTGTCTACAGAGAGAGTAGAAAACTAAATGTATGGGGATGACACTGACAAGTGTCAAAATTTACGTCAATTTCATATAATTTAGTTTTCTATTCTACAAGTAGACAAGCGCTAAATGGCATTTGGCTACAGCTGCTGAACAGTAAACACGAAAATAACGTACCTTAAAAAACCCGCCGAGAAAGGGTCCAACAACAGTACTATGTCGAATAATGTTCACAATATCTTTGGCCATCCAGCATTTATACATGTCTATGAAAATCATCGTAGCCAGTGGAGTTATTGTCGCTATTAGAAATGCTGTTGTAACAAACAAATACTTATCACTAAAAAGTATAAAACAAAGTTATTCGCTATGCGCCGTCTGTCTGTCCCTATGTATGCTTAGATCTTTAAAACTACGCAACGGATTTTGATGCGGTTGTTTTTAATAGAAAGATTGATTTTTGAGGAAAGTTTATTTGTATAATAAATGCATATTGCACCGCTAGTTAATAATAAATTATTTATTTTCTCAACATCAAGAAATAATATAATAAAGATTACGTCAAACAATGACACAATAAACTTGAAAGTGGTGTCTGTAGTAGGTAAAACCTGAATCGCAGGTTATGAATAGTGCTAGAATAATATTCTTTTTTTTCCTACATTTTTTTTATGTAGGAAAATATCCAGAGGTTATGAAGGCTAGAAAATCGTTTCACTTAATTATTTTATGTTTAAGTTTAAGGGCAAGTTAAACCTGTAAACGGTTTAAATAGCTGCTTTATTTTAGTATGTGTTGAATTTTGTATCCTATATTCATGTTGACGTTTTTCTCTTAAAGAAAAAAGCCATACTTATAAAGAAATATTAGACATATGTTGGAATGCACTGTTTCTGGGAACAACGTGTATGGAATCTACAAACTGCCGGAGGCCCAATTACCCCTCCCCCTTTCCCAATCTCTGAGTCCCTAACAATCCTCAAATTCATAATCCCAAAAGTAACGCTTCTGGTGTTCCAGGTGTCCATGGGCGACGCCTATTGCTTACCATCAGGTGATCCGTATGCTCGTTTACAAGCTTATCCCATAAAAAAAAATTGGGCCTCACGACACAGGGAATCCTAATGTAGGGTCCAGTGCTATATAAATATGTAATGTGAAGCTTTTGTCAATAAACAAAAAGAAAGAAAGAAAACACAGTAGGCATGCACACAGATACAAAAAAATACAAAATTAAAAAAGAAAAGGACAAATAAATACACATAGTTATATAGATATAGAAAAAAAACAAAGAAACGACAGAGTATAACAACACAGTGACAATACAATAATAACACAGTAATTAAAAATTAATAAAAACAAGATATAAATAAATAACATTTAACGGCGCGTGCCCTTGCCAAAAAGGCCTCCATCTCAGCATTAAGTTGAGCGTACATGCCCAACGCTGATTTTCAGATGGTACCCTGCAGTGACTCGCGGACGGAAATAAATAAAATTAGAAATAAACATAATTTTTTTTAAAGCATAAAATCGAATTTCACTCTGAATTGTCAATTTCGAAATGTAATTAAATACTTACGAATGCTAGCCAACCGCCACATCTCAGTTTTAGGATTCGGGTATATCATACCGACGCTCAATGCGAACGTTATCAATTTATAAGTTTCGTGAAACGTCGTGAATTCTGGTTGTTGTTCCATTACAAAGTAAATAATATAATATAATATAATAGACAAAGGTCTATGGTATTTTCAAAAAAAAAAAAACTATACGTACACGTCTACCTTGTCTTTGGAGTAATATAAATGTGATCATGGATTATCGTCTAGCTTAATAGACGGCATTTTTAACCTACTAATAATATAATTGCGAAAGTTTGTTGTTTGTTTGTTAATACTCACATAACATCACGCCTTTCATCCCCGAAGGGGTAGGCAGACGTGTACATTATGCCACTGTACAATGTAACACCGACTTTACACTAATTTTATGTTATGAGTCCCATGTAATAGGGGTGAGCCTATTGCCAAATACCGGACACAATTCCAGACACCGTGCTACTTAAAAAAAAAACAGTAAAACTATGCCGGGCCCGGGAATCGAACCCGAGATCCCTTGTCCGGCAGTCGCACTTGCGAACAATAATTTGTGTGTGTGAACCATAGATTTGCTTAAATTACAAAGCATAGTCACGGCTCTAAATCAGTCAAATCGTCACATCAAAGAGTTTGCCCTAGGCGATAATGTTCAATAGTATTACCTAATGAGATAATTGATTAAAATGCTCCCCAGTTCCATTTAATACATTAATATTTCTTTTTATTGTTCTATACTGTGATTGTCCATGATTCTCTTAATTGGTCACTTTTCTTTTGTAACAGTAATTTTGTAATTGCGTCTTTGATGTAGGGAATTTTGATTACGTTATTAAGAATTGGTGAAGTTGGTGTAGTGGTTGGGGATGTCGTGCTTCGGGATTTGTGTTCGATTTTTAGTATTCAGTGGCATTTGAATATTTTTGTCTTTACATTTTTGATTTAAATAAGGGCCGTAGAGATGGCGCTTAGTGTATATGTCACATAGGCTACTTTTTATCCTTTTGTGACGCCAGCGAAGCCGCGGGTAAAAGCTTGTATTTTATATATGCTTATTTTAACATGAACCTTAATTTTCATTATCTTTCCCAGGTATGTAACGCCGCCCTGGAAGTATACGTTCGCCGAGCGTACACGTCGTACGACATCACCTGTCTCCAACACCTCGCTCTGTCAGGAGAGCTTGGAGTAGTCCACTTCCAGTTCATATTGCCTACTGGACATCCTAACAGGTGAGTTGAGGATGTGATACTACAGAGCGATACCACGGCCTCACAGGAAACTGGCGTGAAGTAACGGTAGCGTTGTGTGATGCCCCGGGAGTGAGGTTAAAGGTTGAAGGGGAAAGCAGATGTGCACATTACGGCACTTAATGCCAGTGTACAATG